TGATGTTGTTTGCTCCTTGACGTATGTATTTCTCAATTATTTTGTAAGTAATCTTGAATCTCCCAGAATTATAAAAACATCCCTTCTTGTCTCTTGCTGGTGCCAGTCTAAGAAATGGCCTGGTACTCACTCTTTTACATGTTTTTGGGTTTTTTTTTGCAAAGTCCAATTGCATTTGAGTATCAATACCAATGAGGAACTAAAATAATTACATGCCAGCAGAAGCATGTCATATTGATAGAGATCATCTCTTACCAATTTCTTTTAACTCATCTCTGGCTCTCTGTGCCTGCACGGTCTCATGCAAAAGTATAAAATCAGTCACACTGTCAAAATGTAATAAAGATGGTTTCCTTTAGCAGATCATGCCATCTCATCCACATCTGTGAACATACCAGTCTCCTTGTTCCTGTCTCTGAAATGTCATTTGGTGTTTTGATCTAGCTGACAACATGTTACCTGATTTTTTTTTTTTTAGATTTTCAGAGGAAACTTTGAGTGTTGTACACTATAGCTAACTTTTCTGAAACAAATCAGGCAAATCATAATTTCAGGAAAGAGCTGAATGAGATTTTGGCATAGATAAAGAATTTAGGATTGGGTTTTACAAAGGAAGTTAATAGCAGTTCTCATTAGATGATCCAATGTCGTTCTGGCTCCCATTTAAAACAGTCTCACTAGAAATAAGACACATGTGAAACCTCTGCCTTCACCCCCCCACCAAAAAAAATTACTGTAGCTATCAAAAATATTTATTTAATCTATATGATGCTAGGAATCCTTCCTCACAGATAGTCCATCACCAAAGCAGTCCCTGTGGACCTGTAGCAGTTCCTAGTTAGGAAAATCCCCACACCTTCCAGTGCCTTTCATTACTCTATTAGCTAAACTAGCTGAGTAACCCAGTGATTAAAAATAGCCAGAGCCTTCTCTATGTCGTACTCTCCACACAGACCTGCAAAAGTCCAAAGAATGAATCTTTGTGATATTTGCCTCCTTTTCTAGGTTTTGGTGGGAGTTATTTGGTCTTTCTGGAGAAGCCCTGAAGCAAGTATGAACTAAAATTTTACAGAGGAGAGTATACCACCAAATGTAATTGAGGTTGATTTAAAGTAAAAAAAAAAAAAAATATAGACTATCTTGATGCACTTATGAAAGCATTCTTTAGTACTAGAAGAGTAAAAATCCCTTTACTGCTGATACTGCATTATAAATATTAATACACAGACCAAAATTATAGCAAAATGTGCATACTTCAGGATAGGGCATTACTGGTTCTTAAAACCACCTTTCAGAAGAAAGCATAATTATGTCTCAACATGCTTCCCATCAGAAAGGCTTGTTTCAGAACTCAGAAATGTTCTACAGACTTATTTAGATCTTTTAAAAACACAGCTTCTTGGCATATATAATTGCTTTGTTGCAAAAGCAGTTTTATAAACAATAGTCAATTCCATACTGACAGTTTGCTGTTCATAGGCAGTTCTGGTTCCCTGATCAAAGCTGACATTACTGATGTGAAAAAAAAAAGGTTTTTTCTGAAATCAAGGGAAGATTTCTGTGAAACAGACAAAAGTGCAATGAACACCAGCAGAGGGCAAGTAACCTTATTTTTATAATTCACTTTTTATATTTTGTATCAAGATATGCTGATTTTCTGATTCAATTTGCAGGTGTGTTTATGCAATGTGAATTTCTGCAGGTGCTTTTTAGGTGGTGAAATTACAACTTCCTACAGTGTATCTATTATATTGTAGGTACTGATTTCTCATGAGCTTTTGGTTCAAAAAGTCTCCTGTGCAAAGTTTTGTTTCTGTTGTAAATTACATACTCAAGAGATTTCTCCTTAGTACCTGCAAAATCAGAGAGATTTCTTGAACATCTTTATGATGGTTGGTTGGGAGAGGGGGGTTGCCCATGCCACTGCTGGCACCAGAAGTGAGCTGCTCTGCCAGGTAAGGACTGGGAGAACAGGAACCCATGGTCTAGAATTGGGCCAAAGGAGCAGCATCTCCTAGAAACAATTCTTACCAGTTAGTGTGGTGGGATGTGCAAACTCCAGAGCTATTCCACATGCTGCAGCCACTTAGTTAGAACGAGCTCACACATGGAAGAACGTAGGAAAACACAGATATTGGCAAATAGAACAGAAAAGCAAGGACAAAATTCAGTTCTTTAATGCTAATGGGGTCTCTTTAAACTCTCACACCTTTGGCCTAATTCTTAGTCACAGGCACAATTTCCTCGTCAGTGGGGCTCCTCACACCATAAACTCTCCTCAAGACGTGCTCCTGGCCGCAGGCTTGTTCCAGATGCTTTTCTCCCGTGCAGGTTTGTCCTACTTAGTACGTGCTCATGTCTACCTGCATTCAGCAAAGTGTGGCTGAAGATGACACCAGTGCAATGGATCTTGTGAAAGCTCTAGCTTTTTTCATTCATCTGCTCTGGTACAGTCTCCACAAAGGCCTTATCTGTCACAACAGGAGACCTTGCTTGTTCCAGAAGTACCTAATTCTCTGAGCAAAGAGAAAAAAAAAATAAAATCTGACAGACAGTACAAAGTGCAAGCTCTGTTCTCCATTCTTTCTGGTCCTTTTCCTTGCCATGTGCTGGAGGCCATTATGTGCCTTACATTTGTCTGTAGAGATGTAAGGTCAGGATACACGTTTCAAATGCAATGCTGTGTTTTAGCTGCTGCTTCTCAACTGCTTGTCAACTGGAGCTCCTGTCCCCCTCTAGCCATTCACACTGTGTTGTTATGCCCCTTATTAAAAACATAATTTTGAGGGTTATATTAAAAATACTCAGTTTTTCAATAAAGTCTAACACCTATTAAAAAAAAAGCATCTCATTGCACATTTATTTCTGTCAACAACAGCAGTATGAGAAACCTGTCTTTTTGTTAAAGCAAAAAGCAATTAAAAAAAGATTTTTTTCAGCCTTTTCTGTTCAGTGCTCCAATAAAGGACAGACAAATATAGGATGATACTACAGACTGAACACCACCACATAAGCCTTAACTAAAAATCCATTATTACATAAGTTGCCAGAGAATTTAAAATGAAGCCGTGTAAACACTTTCAGTCTACTATTAAGAAAAAATCACAAATATTGAAAGTAGCATCTGTAGCAGATTCTTCAACAGAAGTTTCACTGGTTGTAAATAAAAATGGAAGTTATTATTTGTGGCTTTTTGTTCTTGAGAAAATGCCACTATTTTGTATTTTTGAACGGTTGATCTTGAAAGTTAAGAGGTAGCAACACAAAAGTTCATTTCAGCAACACACTAAAAATTAGTTTTAAATATCCACCTTTCATTGAAGTATGGACTTTCTAGGTATGGGTTTTTTTAGTTTTCACAGTACATCTATAAATTGTATTAATACATCAGCACACAAGTTTCTTCTATCCCAGCGACATCCCAAACGATAGAGTACACTTTTATGAAATAAATTGCTGCTATTAAATCAGCAACTATAAATAAAAGTAGCTTCCAGTCCTTTTGTCCTAAATGATAAAAAACACCATGGTAACAATAAATAATAAAAAAAAGCCTCTTTTCTCTAGAAAAGCCTTTCAGCAATGTATGTCCATCAGATGAGCAAGAGTTATACTTTCAGACCTGCATCACACAATACATAAGCATTTGAACACATAAGGCCATATTCTCCTATAAAGCAACTAGATCTAGAGGAAAGGAAAAAGCATAGTCAACACAAATATACCTATAAATAACATAAAGAGACTTGGTAAATTTATTCCTTACACTCACAATTGAAAAAACAGCATCCTCCTAACATGCTGCTGGACAACCTGCAGTAACTCTTTCCAGATTCTTAATAAAATTAAACGATTTTCAATTCCAACCTAATTTTTAGCTTGAAGTATTTTTTACCATTTATACAAGGTCTTTATCTGTTATTTGATCCATTATGAAATTTGTTGCTTATGGAAATTCAAGACAATGATCAAGCCATATCTGTTAGAGGTTGCACTCCTTTCACTAAGATACATCTTTCATTCTTTCGTCTTTACAAATCTTTACCCACTTCTTCACACTTCTTCATTCTTCAATTGCTAACACTGAACATGTATATCTGATTAAATGTATCAGTACCAAATAAGAGATCAACAATATATTTAAGTTTCCTATATTTTAAATCCATTAAAATCCTTTTCATAGAACCCTTTCTACAAGAGCTTCTTGTCCTCCTCTTCTATGACCAGTATTCTGAAGTTCTTTATATTAGTGTATTAAACTTTGCATATATGAAAACCTATCACACAATACAGTGGAATAAACTCAAGACCCTGATTTTGAAACCAGGAATAAAGCTAATTATTTTCTTTTTTATTTATACAAAACTTGCCTAAGACACACACATGCACACAGGTGAGAATAACACATCAGTGTTCATGTGAGCATTACAGATCATTTGCTCTTTATGTATGGAAAATTGGTCTAATAAATAGTAGAAACCGTAAGATTTCTGGGGTTCATGCTTTTAACTTTTGTTACATACTACAATCAAAACTCCATCTGGTTTCAGAAAAGTTTAGAGTAGAATTTACCAATTATCTCCTGTATTAAGTGAGCTAGGAATATCTTTCTCACAGTCTATACAGGTCAGCTCCTCTCCAGCACTGCATCCCCTTTTGAAAACATTAATATTTTTAATTGAAAAGCTACCAACTAGGATACACTCTGCAGTGATTTTTCTACAACTTCTGAGCACTGAACAGGGTGCCTAGAGAAATTGTGGTGGCTCAACCACTGGGAAATACTCAAGCCATCTGGAGACAGGCCTGTCTCCTGTGCAGCCTGCTCCAGGTTACCCTGTTTGAGCAATGAAGCTGGACAGGATAACCTCCAGAGCTCACATCCAACCTCAGCTGTTCTGTCATTCCATACTGGTTTTGTTGGTAAAGGTCATTTTCCCCAGCATTTAAAAAGATTGAGTTTAGAGATTCATAAATCAAAAAATAGCCTACTACAATTATTCACACACAAAGTCAGGTGTTTATTTACCATATTTACAAGTATAAATACATTAATGCTACAAATACTCTCTCATTCTTTATTAGTGTGGCACTTTAGATAAGGTAACATACAATGCAAGTAAGATGCCTTAGTTTTACTAGGTAGCTGTGTAGTCACTGCCAAAGTTTTACCAAAACAAATATGGCACATATTATAAGTGATTCTCTTCCAGATGTCTATAAATCTTTAGTACTAAATGCAACTGTACATTTGATTTTCGTATTTTTGGTCAAATAGATACAATAATTTATTATTTTTATTGAAGTGTTAATAGTTCATTTGGTCATAACAGTCTTCTGACTTCAGTATTTTACAGCACCAAAACCTTCCCACTTTGCAGTAAACACATTTTTTCCCCAAATCATTTAGGGAGCCATCACCAGCATACTGTTGGTCTGAATTCCATCATTTCAGTTGCAAGACAACCTTGAAAAAGGAGAAAAGAAATGAGATTAAATTTGGTTAAGAACAAAACTTTAACAGCCTATGAAAAGAAGCCTTTTGCTTTCTATTTCCATATAACTGAATAAGCATCGTTCCTCTGGACAACGCACCATTCCTCTCTCAACTCTTTTACAATCCCACAAAAAACCATCACTTAAGATAACTTCTTTACTGCACTCAAACCATTCTTCAGCTGCCTGCAATCAAAAAGCAGAATATCAAGTCCAGGTGCAGACATTCCTTCTGCACAAAGCAGAGCCAAGGCACCAATTCTGAAGTGAATTCCTCCTCATGTGCCCACAGAACTGGGTATGGAGATGACCACATCCCACCGCTTCCATACAGACCCTCAAGCAGAACAAAGGGCATGTGAACACTGAAGTCTGTCCTGGAAGAATCCTTGCTCACATACTATTTTTATTTAGTTTGGCAGGGAACAAAATCCATACAGAAGCAAGCTGTGAAAGCTCTTAAGGGCTATAATTTCATGCAAATACTGTTTTCTTCAAATCCTCATTTTCTTTAGCCCTTTCTATTAAGAAATCTGAGACCCTTCAGTGTCTCAGAAGTCTTATAGTTTTACTTGAAATTCTCTACTTGCATCACAATACTGTAATCTTTGTAACTTTCTTCCTGATTCACTGTGCCAATTAGAGGAAATTAGAGGATGTGGAAATTAGAGGACTTAATGTGAGGAAATTCGTGTGAACCAAGTAACTCTCCCAGACACTGACATTTTGTGAAGCTGAGGGAAACATGGGAGTTCTCACCAATCTTCCAGCATAGGATAGGGGTAATCACATTAAATTAGGAAGTAGATTTAATCTAGGTATTAGGAAGAAATTTTTTACAATGAGTGTGGTGAAACACTGGACACAGATGCCCCACCCCTGGGTCAGGTTGGAGAGGGCTCTGAGCAACCTGATCTAGTCAAAAATGTCCCTGCTCGTTGCAGTGATCTTAGACTAGACAACCTTTACAGATCCTTTTCAACCCCAACTATGCTATGATTCTACAAATTCTGCTTAAAATGAATCAGTACCTAAAAAGGTAGGAACAAAATATTACACCAGTAAAAATTACCTTATTAGCAGCTTCCAGTGCATTTATTAGGTTCTGCAGCTCTTCCTTATTCATCTCTATAGAAATTGGCTTAACTTCACCATTTTCTCTCACATCCAAATCAAGATTGAGGAGTGGCATTTGCAGCATGGAGATCTTATCACTGGAGAGAGCAAGCTATGCAGATTGACACAACAACAATAAAGTATAAGGTGGAGCCATTAAATTTTTAGTCTTTCATAATATCACCTCTGTATTTTATATTAAACTTTTAATACCAGAACAAATATCAGCATGACAAAATTAACTTCAAATAAGTCATCTCTGCTGTTTTCAGGGTTTTTTCCTCCATTATTGGGATTTTTTTTTGTTAGTACCAAGAGTATATTGAATAAAGACCATCCTCTTCACAGACTTGTCATATACAATTGCCAAAACCAATCTGTTAAAATTCTGGGATACCACATTTTGGAATTCCAGGTGAAAACAAGGGATACATTTGATCACGGCTCCTAATGAATTACTTATATTCTGAAATCACCATATTCAAATAGGTCTTCTAATCAACAAGAAGGGTCTTACAGAATGGGTTTGTTGGGAGAAAGAGGAGACCTTTGTAACACTCTGCAGCTGATCAAACACATTGTCAGATACACTGATGCAGGTTACATGCCAATTGTGCTTTCTTTTTATTGAGTACATTACTCACTGTGGCACAGATAAGGCTTTTAAATACATTGAAATTAAAGATCAGTTGACAGTACTATAGGTTAGTATTGTACAGACCTATCTTTATTTAGAGAACAGAATGCAGTAGTTCAACCATGGCAAGTGAAAAAAAAAAATCATAACCAGCTCAAGGGGGGAAAAGAGTGCTTTTAAGAAAAATAATAGCTCAGACATGTACCAGAAATTGTAACCAAAATCGAAAGAAACTCAAAAAATTCTCTAGACAAAAGATTTAAAAGAAGCCACAAACAAGACACAAGAATTCACTTAAGTCCATATTTTTCTCAGCAGTAAACGCAGTTAGCAGGGATCAAGCCCAGTAACAGATCATCTAAACCACATTATGATGTGGTTTTGCTTATGATTTGCTCTTGTAAAAACTTGTTTGTTTTGGGCATTGCTCTTTGATTTCCAAAGCTGTTTGCTGCAGAAAGTGAGCACTCTTGTAAACATGGAAAACTATTTAACAGCTCTAGAAATCTGTTTAACAGCTCTCACAATCTAATAAAAAATATAAACAGTAAGTAATGTTTTTAAGCCTTTGATTGAACTTAAGGTCTTCATAACCTCAAACCACCATCCTAACTTAGGCAACTCCAATATTACTGGTTTATTACCAAAACAGAAAGTCTAATGATAAATTATTTCAAACTAATTATTAAATGTCCACTGCAAAAATACGAATATTTGAATAAAGTGAAGAAAACTTATACTGAATCAGTCAACTAATCTTAAAATTAAGAATATACTTCTTCCTTTGGGAATAAACAATGTTTATTCAGGCCTCAAAATTGTAACAGCATACAAAACATTCAGGTGCTCCTGAACAGAACCAAGTCCCCTGAGCAGGTTTAGAAGAAAAGAGGGGAACTGTAAAATAAAACAAATTTTTAAAATTTGTATTTGCAAATTTCTGGCAAGTCTTTGATGTGTTCTTGCACCAGTCATTAACATGCTTTTGCAATACAAGTTACTTCTGTTGTAGAAGATTCCTTTCAAACAATATCAAGGCAACATTCTCACCTTTAACTGCCAGTCAAAATCCTGCAGCTGGGCAGAAGAGATTGCATGTACATTTTCTACTAGGGCATTCCTGATTTCTTCCTTTCTGCCTTTCAGACATTTTGTGATTGCTTCTTGGTAATCTGAATTTAACTCAATTATCTGCTGAGCAGCCTACAAAAACAAAAATAAACCCCGTGATTACTTGCACTATGAACCACAGAAGTAACATGTACCACCTGCAATAACTAAAATATCTAAGCTGATAGCTACCCTTTGTGGCTTCTCTCTGTCTTTGGTAGTTAAGAGTCAGTGTGCACCACAGCAACACACAGAGAAAAAATCATTTAAATTAAAAGACACCAGAGAATAGAGGTTTTATCATGTTCTTCTTACATGCCACCCTAAAATCAGAAGAACATCACACCCCCAAACAACTCTGGTGTAGGTCTGCAAGTTTCTCAGCATCAGGTCAGAGGCTAAATACATCAGCTCAGCTGAAACAGAAATACTGATGTAGGGAGGCTCCCCAAGGCTACACAGGTGTCTTTCTTTGACCCAGCTGCTAGCAGGTGGCCATAATACAAGCAGTATGCAAGAGATAAGAATTAATATTTCTATTAATAGAACATGATTTTTCAAAGTTCATACCTATAAGAATATCCTGAATTACAGTCCCTGTACCATATGGTCAATCAGTCACACTTAGATTTTTCAAAAGTTTATTTTACACCTCTTCAATGCAGTATTAACAAATAAAATCAAACAAGTGAACTGGTTTTATTGCTAATGAGCAGTACTATATAAACAGATTTAATCTGAGGATACTCAAAATACCAATTTAAGTGATTAAACCAGTATTTTAACAAGTATCCTGTGATATTAGAAAACTATTTTAAAATCAGCATCTATTTCACTTTTTGTTGTAGAAATCTTGGCACTGTATCTCTAAATGCTGCTTACCTTCTACCTATTCAGGATGAATCCACTACCGTTCAAATCCTACACTATAAACATATTTTAGGATTAAAGAAACTACAGAACTAATCACTCCATCCATGATTTCTCCAAGTCAAGGATAATCAGCTATGAGCCCTTACTGTAGGAATGCGCCCCCTATGACAGAGCGGCAAAAATTAACCTTTGTCCCCCAAAAAAGGAAAGAAGCCCAGAAGCTTCTTTCAACTGTTAGGTGGAAAGCCACCTCATAGGGCCTCAGGGACTTCACCAAACACCAGAGAACATCTAATTGGATAGAAGCCAAAAAGTCCCGCCTGATCAATCAAGTAGAAAAGAACAGAACAAAAGAGAAGAGGGGCTTTTGTGTGAAGTGTTTCTACCAGGGGCAGACCTCTGTACCTGGCTCGAGTTTTTCTGTTTGTTATTTTGCCTTTATTAAACCTTTTTTGTTTCTAACACCACAGCAGAAGCCATCCTGCTTATTTTATGCCCCCAAAGTGTAGCTGAGCTATCCTTGGGTGTATTAAGTGTTTTTCTAAGGCTTATGAGAACTGGCTCTAGGACAAACAACTTAATACCTTACCTCTTCATCAGACATGTTTTTGCCAACTGCAGTTTTGAAATATGTCATAGTTTCTGCTAAAACCTCCATCCACTCTGACAAGCTCCAAACATTGCCATAATCCTGGTATCGAGGGTACGCTCGGCCACAGACGCCATCAACTACCTTATGAAGGAACTGAAAGGATGTGACACATAATTTATAATTCTCTCACGGTTAATCTGCACCTCATATGAGACTGATCAAGCACTTCAGTTATCAACCCTCCCTCCCCTGGGGGCTGCCCCAGCGCTCCCAGGCTGCAGCCCAGGCACGGTACTCCTTGAATATGAGCCTTCTTCCCTTCTCCCCTTAAAGGCGGTTCACGAGGTCTGGCCCCAGAAATCACAACGTGGTGCACATTCACCCTGGACTTACAAGCGGACTGAAGAGCTGTGAGCACAACCACAGCCCTGCCGCGATGCCGAGTGAAAGGGCGCCCCAGCCACCGGCGCTGCCGGGCCGCCCGGCACAACCCAGGCCGCTCACTTCCGAGCCGTGGGCCTCCCGAGCCTCCCAGAGCTATGCCCTCTGGCACCGCGGCCTGGCGGGAGCGGCGGCCCGCTCCCCAGCCCCGGACCGCCCGCGGGCCTTGCCTCCGTCACAGGTGCCGGAGGGCGGCCCCTGGCCCGCCGGCCCCGGCCCCGGCCCCGGCCCCTCCGGCACGGGAAGCCCACCTCCAGCGCCCGGCCCGGCGGCAGCTTCTCCAGCAGCCGCGGCATCGCCGCCGCGTGACCGCCCCGCCGGCGGCGCGCATGCGCGCGTGGAAACAGCCGCCCTCATCCGCCCCAGTTCGCGGGTTCGAATCCCAGCCCCGGCGTCGCCGCCGCCCGGTGCGCTTGGGGAGCCGAGCGTGCTCTGCGCGACCTTCGGTCAGACGGCGAACGAGCCGGAACCCCCCTCGTTTTACAACCTTTTATAGGCAATAGCCCTTAGGAAATTTTTGCATTCTGCCTGTCTTGCAGCTCTGCTTTTTGACCCCTAACAGGTTAAACTTGCACTGGTGGCAAGAGAGGAAGCTCAAGACTTCCAATGGGCACCACGTCTTCTGTGATGTTAAATCAAATTGAGGAAGTTCGGAGTAACACTGCAGAAGCCCGTGCTGCTTGTACAGTGTCTACCGAGAAGAGCTCATTTTTTAATGCTTTATCAAAGTGTGGGTTCAATCCTAGCCAGACAGTGGAGGTTTATGGAACAGGCTTTAATATCAGCAGTGACCTTTCCATGTGTTGAATTGATTGAACGTGAATGCAAAGAAGCAGAATTGCCCTGATTGCTTTTACGAGAAAACCTGTAAGAATTCAAGTCACAGAACTGCAGATCACAAAACTGCACAGAGACTGTTATACCTGTTGGCAGACTTTATTTCTCTGAAATCACAAGGCTAATTTACAGTCAAACAGTTGTGCATAATGTAGGTGTAACACTGGGCCGTAAGAATACCAAAGCAGCTGCAAGTCCGACCTGGTGGATAGAAAGGTTTTGTAAAAAACCCAAGCTGGTTAAGTCAGTCTGCAGCACAACTTCTTCACAGACAGTCATGTGGCCTTGTGGGACTGATGTGGTGCATGGGAGTTCTGAAGAAATATATGAGGAAGAGCCAGCTTCACGTTTTGCTGACTGAAAACTTTCAAATTCCCCCCATTTTCTTTAGGGTTTGCTACTGCTAGTAGATTAAGCTTTTTAAGAAAATGTATTCAATTTTTTAATGGAGAAATTACTCAAAGCTGCTGTTTAAATGAGGGATAGATGAAATTTCAAATTAAAAAATTATTTTCAGTAATAATTTCCTTTATTCCCCTAGAATTTTCTTTGTTAGTACCCCCTCTAACTGTACTGTGTTGTGCACTACAAAACAGAGCACCAGGGGGAGTGTCTGCTCCAAACAATTAAAACCAGCGACAACAGGAGAAATACGACGGTGATCCAGACTTGCAACGAAGTAATTTACGAAATAAAGAGAAAGGTAGTGAGCGTCCCACTCAGATGAAAGGGCTCAAACAAGTGAAAAATGGAAGAGAGCAAAGATGTAACGCATGAAGACAGGAACAGATAGAAGAGGATAGAAAACTGCCATCACATGCTATCACAGTGAACATTTTCAAAGCAGCTAATTTTTTCCCAGTCTGAAGAACAAAGAATTTAGCTTTTCATTTTTTCACATATATGTAGTTTAAAAGTAATATTTTTGATTCAGCCTATTGGGCCATGAGGAGCAAAGTCAGACTGCTCAAGGAAACCACAGCTGGGTTATAAATTCATCTTTCAGAGCTCATGTTCAACTGCTGGGAAGTAGGGGATATAAAACTGGCCTTTGGCAGGTTGGACTTTGTTTGGAACTGCATTATTTGGATCTGCCATCAAGTCTTAACCTTTAAAAATACCTGGTTTTCATGCTTCTGTACCACAGCAGTAACAACCCACCCCACCCCTTGAAGTTAAGCTCTCAAACAACCACAAAATCAGGGAGGGAAACTTGTAGAACAGTAAGTACATAGGCAAGGATTTCAGAGCAGCAAGGAAAGAAGCAATTTTATGAGAGAAAAGTGTAGAGTGAACTTTACATTATTTTATCCACATTGCTCCTGACTTGTAGGGGGTTTATTTGCTTATAAAGAAAACCCACAAGCTAAACTACAGTAATTAAAGCCATTTTAAGATCAATCCATTTGTTGCCCTTGGTTTTGGAAGAATGTCAATAATTAAAACATTGGGAAATAACTTAATAACCAGAGGTTATTAATATTATAGTAACATACATTTTATCATAACAATGTAGTAATAATTATATATTATTATATGTAATATATAATAATTTCTATACATAATGTGTACATAATATAGTAGGATAGTGTTTTACATTGCTCTAAGTATATCCAGTTTGGAAGGATATCCAAGCACCAGTATAAGTGTCCCACAAGGAACTATTAAACAGGTATGCCAATAGAAATAAATAGGTAACTGTGTATTTTGCCAACACAAAGAGGACAGTAAAAGCATCTTTTAAATGCAGTGGAAACACTGAGACTGCAGTTGAGATTCTGCTGAGCAAAACGTGGGTTGCTGTGGAGAAGGGAGGTCCCACTGGTCCCCCAGTCCCTGTTGGCAGCTCTGCTTCCTCTCCCCCACCCTCATGCCTGCACTAGGGCACCTGGGGCTGCAGGATGAAACTGCAGCTGATGTAGATGAAAAGAAATTTTATTTTTGCATTCTTTTTTTTTTTTTTTTTTTTTTTTTTCCTTCCCATGGGTTAGATTTCCACTGCAAACAGAGCACCAGTTCTGACAGAAGTGACCTTTGCAGTTGGGACTGAGAGTAAGACAAAACTTCTGGTAGCCCATACTTAGATGAAATTGGTTGACACATGAATATCAGTCAGTGAACTTTAATTATTAAACCAGGAATCTTGAAAGTTTTTGTAGAAGCTTACATATAATCATGATCATAGTGATATGCTGTGGGTGAAGGAGATTGAAAACAATGTTATCTCTATTTAATTTTTACACTGATGAGACAGTAAAGTTCATAGTGAGACTGAATGAACATGACACTGATGTGCATAACATACTTTATTACTTATTTGCTGTTCATAATCTATAATCATAATTCCAAATAACAAATCTCTTTCTCAAATCATTTTACTTGTAAATTTTGAACATACAAAACCATGAGAAGTTTTGGTTCTTCCCCCCAGTCCCTATTCAGTAAATACAATACTCATGAGACATGCAGAGTACAGTGTGTCATGCATACTCTGGATACGGTCTGTGTCCACAGCTTTACACTTGCCTCTATCACGTCTCCTTTTTCCAGTAAGAGATGTAACAAGAGGAACTTTCTTAAATGTTCTTGAATTCACTTCTCACTGATATTTCAAAATCATCTTGTTGGTTTCTGTAGCAGTTCTGTCCTTCCCACAGACTGCGCTGAAGAACTAACAACAGCTCTGAGGGACATTCCTGTGGTTCAACACCTTGTAGAGTCACAGTTTATACACTGAAATCTGTACTGCCTTTCACGGACAAAAGCATACTGAAGAGATCATTCAAAAGAGCTCTGTACACTGTAAGATCTTGAGAGAAGAAGTGCTACTGTTGGAAACACTCCAAGCATACTTGATACCAGATGGAAAAAAATAGTGTACATATTACTTGAAATCAGTTAATATCATAGCTCTGTAAAATATCTGTACTATGTACCTCTCAGTACCTGCCTGGCTGAGGTAACAGAAGAGCCAGGAGCTGGCATCACACCCGGTATTCTGCAGGACAGAGGCAGAGGATTAGCTTAAACTAGAAAAGTGACATCCTCGGTACTCCAGGGAGCCTGTAGTTGGCTTGAGCCGCATACTCACTAAAACAACAGCTCAGAAGACAAACTGGAGTCAGTGGCTGGGACTGTGCTCACGAGTGTCACTGGTCACCATCTTTTGTAAGCAGCTGGCACTACAGACCTACCATGCCTCTCCTCTCCTGTCCCCAAGACACATTTGTTTGCATAAGCTTCGATTGGAGAGGGAGGAGTCTTTACTTTCCATCCTACAAGAACATTATGAATATTCTCCTAACTCTCCTTTCTACAATTCAGACCCTTTATTTCTTATCCCATGCTCAGGGAACATGCAGAAAGTTTATTTTTATCTTCTCTATTGATACCATCTTGTAAGGAAAAATCTGTTGTCACCATTTCTATCCTTCTATGTCCCTTTCTTCATGGTTAAAAATTCTAGGTGAATGGAACACCAGGTACACATCAGGACTGGGATTTTACTCACAATGTTCAGGTCTAATGATTGTAATGTCTGGAATTCAAAATGACAACAACAGAAAATTAGCAATCGCTTTTAGGGTAGATATAGTAAAGCTAAGCCAAAATATTCCCTTGCTTTTCCAAGTCCAACCTTAAGATTTCAGTATTAATAATGAACGGTAAGAATGTGTTGGTGCTTTTCAAAAATCTTTGGACATCATAAAACAGAAAAGAAAATGCTCAGTAGGTAGATTATGGCGACTCTTAACCATAGTAGTAAACAACAATTAGTAGATGCTGGAAATGCTGCATACCAAGCTGAACCAACATGTCATAATAGCAGTGGGGAGAAAGTACTCCTAAAATAATAAACACCCCACTACAAACATCTCTTCTACACAAGGACTTCTTGTGGTCTGTATTTATTATATAACTCTGAGTTGAGAGCTACTATTACAGCTGCTATGGATTTTATTTTTATCACATCATATTTTGAAATGAAATGAAAACAGCAGCTGGTGAAGGTTACACTGGCAATGCTCTGTTTCTGCTGACAGAGGTTGTTTAAACCAAGGGCATATAAAGAGAAGGTTATTTTGACAGACTAAGAAAAACCAGTTTGTATACAGATACATCCATAGTGAGGCACAGCAGTGCTTTTTGACTAAACCTCTTCAGGGGTAAATAAAGCCAACTTCCTCCCAGGAATTCCTCACAAAATGGCCTTGTGATTTACAAGTTTTTCTCGGTATTGTTGGTCTGTGTCCAGCTTGGCAGCACATTGTATTACCCAGATTTTCTGGACTTCTTTGTGGTCTCTAAATAATACGAAGCAGATTTTCCCATCTCTGCTTCCTACTGCTCTTGTCTTTTCCATGGGAAATACCAATTTAATAGGCTTCTCCAAAAGATAGCAAAATAAATACTATGAAAGCAACATCTTCTCTCAAAGGTAACTGACTATTCAAGTATTATATTGAAAACTAGATTTTTAGAAGCAGTTGTCAGTGTC